TCTCACAGCGCATCCCACCCCTCCTCAAACAACGTCTTCTTAACCTTGAGCTCCTCCGCCCCAAGATACAGCGGCCTAACAACCTGCATACTACCCGTCCCCAGCTTAACGCTCTGCCCCATGATAATACACTCACTAACACCATCAATCGTATCCGTCTTGCCCCTCGCCGCCGCCTCAAACAAATGATCCGGCGTCTTCTCAAACGACGCAAGCTGCAACACGGAATCCCTTGTCTTCTGCAGTCCAAAACGCGTGATACCAAAGACCTCGCCCTTGAACGTCATGACATCAGCGAGAAGCTGCATGTGACGCGGATCAATGTCCATGTTACCCATGACATCTCCGATTTCACGCACAATGGTTGCGCGGGCGGCTTCGATACCGAGGACGGTTTTGACTTCCATGACGTGGTTGGACTTTGTGTTGTAGGGCTCTATTCCGGGGGTTGTCATGCAGTCGCGGAGGCCGTAGCCTTCTACGAGGAGTTGGCATTCGTACTGGCCTTGGGCGTTGGGGCTGCTTTCTTTCTTGATGATGGCGCGCGTGCAGTCTGGGTAGCCTTTTATGACGACGTCGGGAATGAGGGCTTTGACTTGTTGGACGCGCTCGAAGAATTCCTTGTGGTTGCGCGAGGTTTTTGTGGGGCGCTTTTTCGCGGCGTAAGGGTCGGGGACTTCGACGCGGATTATGGACGAGGAGATGCGGACGTTGGCGCCGGCTTTGCCCCATTTGAGCGGCTTGTGGGCGTTGATTGCTGCGGCGATTTCTTGGGGTGAGACATCGACGAAGAGTTGGTTGATGGTGTCCCAGTCGATGCGCATGGCGATGTAGGCGCCGTTGGGGTGCCACACATCTTCGACGTAGGAGATGACGTCGCGCAGGTACGTCTTTTCCACACGCGCCTTGACGATTCGCGCAGCGGATTCGGAGACCTTATTGGACAGCTCGCAAGCGATGACGGGAGTGGAGATGGCGGACGAGGCGTTGATGATTTCCTTGATACGGGGTACACCCTGGGTGATGGACATACCAGCGACACCAGCAAAATGGAAAGTCTTCAGTGTCATTTGCGTTCCGGGCTCACCAATAGACTGAGCACCAATAGCTCCAACGGCGTGACCGGGCTGTACTCGTGATCGATGATACTTGGTTAGGCAAAGCGTTATGAAGGCCTCGAGCGCGCTGTGTGAAATCTTCGCAATTCCATCAGCGAGACCGTACTTTTCAGCATCGGCTGCGGACTGCTTTCTGTCCTTCCTGCGATCGGGTTGCACCACTCCCAGGTAGGCAAGAGTTGTTTCGAGCTTCTGTGCTTTCTTGAAGATGTAGTCTTGCACGGTGTCGAGGAAGTCACGCAAAGACTCTTTTTGGTCGATGCCACCATCAGTCCTGTCGCGATACTCCAGCGGCGTTACGCCGTCGAGCTTGAACCTAGGATATTTGTTTCGTTCGGTATTCAGCTTTGCTTCTGTGTACTCCTTGACCTCCTGTGGCGTCAGGCCCGACTCGGAGTTGTCCCACGTCGACGTTACGGCGTGAGAGAATGTCCTGTCGAAGTGCACAGGTTTTGCCTTGCCCTCCATGTCTACAGGATCGAGGTTGTCGTCTCCGTACTGGAATTGGACTACGGTTCCAGAAGAGTTCCGAACAGTATCGTCGTATTGTGCAGAGAGATCTTCGAGTGATTTCATCAGTCGTCTACTCATGTAACCAGTCTCGGCGGTCTTGACAGCTGTGTCGACCAGACCTTCACGACCACTCATAGCGTGGAAGATGAACTCGGAAGGTGTCAAACCCGAGAAGAAACTGTTACTGACGAAACCTTTCGATGCGGGCTGACGAGCGGCTTTGGGGAAGTGAGGTAGTGTTCGGTGGTGGAATCCATCTGCGACACGAGCACCACCAATCATTTGTTGTCCGACGGAAGCAACCATTTGAGAGACGTTAATGTTGGAACCCTTGGAACCGCACTTGGCCATGAGCAAGGGTGAGTTCCATCTGCTGAGCTCTTCGAAACAGATGTCACCAGCCGCTTGACGTACACCGGACAAGATACCACCAATCCTGTTCTCCATCGTCTGCTCTTCGTCGCAACCGGGATCGCGCTGCAGCTTACCCTCCTTGAAGTCCTTGATCAACTTGTCGCACTTGGCGTAAGCCTCTTCGACGAGATCCTGCTTCTTCTTGTTCAACTTCTCTCCGGGGGTAACGTCGCTGATGCCGAGAGAGAAGCCGTTGTTGGAGAGCCAACGTGCAGACAGCTTGGATAATCTGTTCATGCCCTGCACGGCGTGATCGGGGCCGAAATCTCTCATCATGACGTAGAACACCGAGTCTTTCTTACCGTCACCAACTGTCGCCTTGTCCATCACACCGCACATGACCTCAGAGTTGCGAATGACAAGATAAGCATCGTTCTCATTCAGATCGGGAGCTTGGTCGGGGGTATTCTTGAACTGCTTGCATGCGGCTTCGAGGTTGATCAACACCCTGCACCCCTTGTATGGCTTCATCAGCAGGTTGAAGACCTGCTTTCCAGTCCAGAGTGCCTGTGGCTTCCATACAACAGGTGGTGGGATGTCGATAGGGTGCTTCTTTCCTGTATCAGGGTCGAAGGCTCCTTCTCCGTTAAACATGTAGTTCACAATCTGACAGAACGTCCGTCGATCGTAAAAGTTGTTCTTGTTGCTGAGGAGATACGCTGCAGTAATGAAGTCCTGAATGGCCGCAATGATGGGTGTTCCGTTCTTGGGGGTCGCAAGGTTGTATTTGACACCCATGAGCTCGGTAGCCTCGGTTCGCGCTTCTTCGGTTTGTGGAACGTGCAAGTTCATCTCGTCACCGTCGAAGTCGGCGTTGTAAGGATTGCAGACACACTCGTTCAGGCGGAAGGTTCTCCAGGGGCGGATTTTCGCACGATGACTCAAGATACTGAGCTTGTGTAGGGAGGGCTGCCGATTGAAGAGAACAATGTCACCGTCTTCAATGTGTCGCTCAACGATGTCGCCAATTCTGAGTCGCTTCGAAGTGGCCTCTAGTTTCTCGCCTGTGGTATCGAATCGTGAAAGACCGATAAGTGACGTCTTGTTAGGCTCCTTGTTTGGTCCCTGATCGCTGATGATGTAGTTGGCGCCGGGATACTTGTTCGATCCATTCTTCACCAATCTCCTCAGCTTGTCAATGTTGTATCGTGTGGCCTTTTCGGGGTATGTGAGGTTCTTCGCGATGCGCTGCGGGACAGCGACTTCGTCGATGCTCAGATTCGGGTCGGGACCAATGACAGTACGACCAGAGAAGTCGACACGCTTTCCAGAAAGGTTCTGACGGAATCGGCCACCCTTTCCCTTCAAGCGCTGGGAGAAACCGCGCATGGTCTTCTGAAGACCCTGTTGTTTCAGACCAGGCGCGTCGCTGTTGATGTACATTGCGATCTGCAGCTGCAGGAAATCCCACTGCTCCATCAAAATTTGGAGGGGAAAGCCTCGCGCCAGCCCAGCGCGTATTATGCTGCTGATCTGGCATATGTCTCCGATCTTGTTGGTCACATCGTCCTCGGTCGCGCCGCCTTCCTGCATCACGGACGGGCGGAGCGCGACTGGTGGTACAGGCATGTACTCCCAGATCAACATCTCTGGTCGCGCATCCTCGGGTATCATAGCCAGCAGCTCGCAGTCCTCCGGTGATATCTTCTTGAACAGGTTGAGCGCCCTCAGCGGATGCATGTCGTCCACAGCCTTCTTCAGGTGCTTGTCCAGATCGGGGTTCGCGGATTTGGCGGTATCGAAGGACTGATCGAACTCGACCTTGCCGGCGGGTGGCTTCTTCGTCTTCGCGGTGGATCGGTTGAAGGCATCGTATCGGTTGTGGATGATCTTGAGCGGGTGGCCGGGGACCTTGCGGACGGTGCCCTGCAGGGCGTTGCAGTATGGGCACGTCTTCTTCTTTCTGCAGTCGTCGAGAATCTTCTTGGTGACTGCGCCCTTGCGCAAAGTGTCCATGTCGGGCCGGCGCATACTGCGCAAGTATCTCCGTCGCTCCACCTCATCCAGCAGCACGCGCGAACAGTCTTTGCAGATGCAGTTGAGCACCTCGATGATGTGCTTCAGGTAGCCCACGTGGAATGCCGGCAGCGCAAGCTTGATGTGGCCGAAGTGGCCGTTGCACCTGTCGAGGCCTTCGCCACACGTTCCGCACTTTCCCTGCTTGCTCGAGATACCCATGTGCGTGTCCATGGGCCCGTTGGCCGTGAGCGAGCGCGTGCCATCGGCGGCGGGCTGGAGGTCGTAGACATTGCGGTCCGAGACTTCGAGGACGGCCTGGTTCACGATGTCCTGGTTGGAGTATATGCCGAACTGGATGTGCTTGATGCGCGCGGGGATGCGGTCCACGACCTGCTGCTTGGCCGAGCTGCGCGGCGCCTCCATGGTGGCGGGGGGTGGTTATGCGGGGTCGCTGAGGTGAGTTGATGCTACCGGGAGTCGTCGCAGTGGTCGTCGTCTCGCATAGTCGTCGCGTCGTGAGTCATTATCCGAGTGACAATAGAGTGCAGCAGCAACTTTCTCGTCGCGCCGCTGCAGATTTCAGGGTGGGGAACCTTCCCGTTGCGCTAAACCCACTAATGCGCCCTACTGCGGGCTGATAAGCTGATAGTACCCCGGAAGGCAGTCGTGACCAGGAGCATCACCGCCTGGTGGCTGCCTCACCATTGACCGTCTCTCTGCCCCGCCCATAGTGACGGCGAGGTTTGCAATAACTTCGCGTGAATTACTCGCTTTACCCTTCTTCCCACTCCTTATACTCGAGCAGCACCTTTATCTACACGTTACTGGTTGCTCCTGCCTCCTGGCCCACGGTACTACCTACACAGCGTCCCCGCTCAACCTCACCCCGCTCAACTGCTCCGCCTCCCAACCAAGGCTGTATTCGCGTCACTGTCTGGCGAGACGCACTTCTCTCTCCTCATGAGTTCAAGTAGGCTTCTCATCGCACCATCTTCCATGTTCTTTCCCCGTCTCACTGACACCCCAGTCTTCCGTATCGTCCTCCGGGACGCAAAGCGGTACGACACGTACGAGACCCGTGAGTTCGACCTGCCGCTCAACAGCGAGTTCCCTATCGGTCGAGCGTCCAGCAACGCAGCCAAGCAAGAGCTCATGGCCGCACCTCATAACGCCTTCATCGACAGCCCCGTCATATCCCGCCAGCACGCCGTTCTCTCGGCCAACGCAAACAGCGGCGTTCCGGAAGTCTACATTACCGACAAAGGCTCCATGCACGGCACCATGCTGAACGGTCAGAGGCTCTCTGCCAACACACCCACCAAGCTGGACGATGGCGATGTCCTGCAATTCGGCACTGACGTTAACCGTAATGAGGGTACGTCCTCGCGTAGGCCCTCCAAACCTCCTCTTACCCTACCTTCTGAGCTGACACCAACCCACACAGAGTTCTTCGTAGCCCGCACCTACACTTTCGAGTCGCAGCTATCACGCCCCTTCTCTCTCGGCTTCACCGTCCCTGATGCCGAAAGTGACGAAGAGGAAGTTGCAGAGCGCCGAGGCAGCCAGATCGATCCTTTCGTCATCGACGACGACTCCGACGCAGCTGATGACCAATCGGAGGCCGACGACCAAGAAGAGGTTACCATGATCATGGATCAGGTCCTGCACCCGAACGAGCATGGCCACACTCTCAGTGTTAGTCAGGACGACTACCCAACGTCCGCAATGCGCACCACTCTTCCCAACGAGGACTACAACCCAGAGAGCTTTGCGTCCCGCCGTGACGACTCCCTCGAGCCTGCCAGTCCAAACCCTTCTAGCGATGGAGAAGACGTGGCCGCCCTTGGTTCTGATTCGGACAGCGAGGCTGGCAGCATCGATAGTTCCGAGATGCTGTCTGACTCCGAGCCCGAGATTCAGGATTCAGAGGACGAGGAAATGGAAGAGGTTGAACACAAGAAGCCCACCACATCCTCATCCAACAAAGAGAACGAGGCGTCAATCCACAGCCAAGTACCCCAAACTGTTCACTCCTTCCCGCGCGATACAACGACGCTTTCGCTCTCGGACGTATACATGCCGCAAGACGTAGCCAACACACAGCCGTCGCTACCACGCTTGTACATGTTCGGCATGCAGGGCTCTGACGGCAACTCCATGTCGAACAGTAACGTCTACGGAGATAACGCGCCTCCACCTCTGCCGCCACGTCCCTCGGCGTCTAGGGCAGCACCATGGTGCGATTCGAACTATCGCTCCTTCAGGGAAGTGGCCGATCTTCAGGAATGGTACTCCGAGGGCGTTCCGCCAAACTACTTGGGCACCAACTTTGGCGACCGACCGTCCCTGTTCAGTCCGGCTCCTCTTGCCCCGATGGCAGAGGCGAATGAGGCTCGTGCTCCCATGCCCCAATTCACTCCTTATCCTAGCCAACCCATGCAAGCGAGTCGTCTGCAGACACCTCCACCATATTTCGTACCCGACTTCGAGACCTCCCCGCCGGTGCAGCCAGGTCGCCGTACCAAGGTATCCATCGAGGAGATCGTTGAGGAGCAGCCGCCTACGCCAGAATCTGTAAAGGATTTGAAGCGCAAGGCAGATGTACTTGAGGCAGACGAGCCAGAAGCCGTTCTTGACGAAGTATTGAAGGCCGCCATTGGCGATGAGCATGCAACCTCAAACTCAGTAGCTGCTGTTCCAGTGGATGATGCTGCTGCAATCCAGACGGCTGCCATTATTGCCCAGCGTCCCAAGAAGACTCCCCGCTCAGTCCTCAGCAAGGTTCTCAACAAGGCTGCGTATCCCTTGCTTGGTGCTACCGGTGCTGTAGTCTCATTTGCTCTTCTTTCCACCCTCCCGGATGCCTTCTTTGTGTAGGCTATGATGGACCTGATGGCAGCAGTCCATCATTCTTCTTTTCCGGTGTTCAGGGTAAGGCAAGGTGTACATGGCGGGGCGATTCGGGATCATGATATCGGTGGGAGCATCTACGGATAACGGCAATTAGTGCTAACGGCGTTTCGAGAGACGTCAGAAGAGTCGGGTCCTGGATTATGGGTGGTGTGTGCTTCGGGATCCACTGGCGTTGTGTGTTTTTTTCCTCATGTCACGCCATGGTGCATGACCATATTACCTTTGGTTTGATAACGAGTTATGTGCAAGAATCTCCCTATTAGATGCTACTGCGTGTGTTGTCTAAGTGATGCGGAATGAAAGATTGGGTTTACGCGAAGCTTGAAATTCTTCGGGACGCTAAACCTCAAGCGACTCGTGTTGAGGACCTCGGGAGCTCCACACCCACGTGGAGGACCCAGACGTCACGTCTTCATTTCTGTCAGACCGTTTCATGGTAGAGTACGGGTACGTGTACCAGATCTCATGTTATTGTTCTTGTTGTTGTGTATTTGGTGTAAACAACGTCTTTCGCAAAACCTCTTTCCTAGCTACCAACCGCGACGCTCCGCTGGATCCTCACGCTTCTGAAGACGTCTGGTGGACTGTCACTGTCTTCTTGATAGCATTCCAATCCTGCGTCTCCCTATCCAAAACAGCCGCCTCGCTCCCCTGGGTACTACCCCGGTCTTCACCCGACCTCATCCCTGTGACCCTCGTCCTAACCTTCGTCGAGACCGACGTCCAAAGCGGCTTCAATATGGGCAAACAAGCACACAAGACCGCAGTACAAACATGAATGCTAGTCCAAAGCTCGGTGGCATGATAGAAAACTGATCAACGTCAGCATAAACGACTCTCAGTATCAAAGCAATAGAAAACCTACTCTCATTCGGATCCTCTTTCCGCCTCGTATAAAACTCAACAATCCTTACCACATTCGTAACCACAACAAACCCACCCAACGCAAAAACACTCACAAGCTCAACCTTCGCCCTCCTTGCCATCTGCAGCGTAAACGCCGTGCGAATCGGCACAAGCAAGATAGCCAAATCGTTCGCCGCGTCGAGCGCGAGAAAAGCCTGGAATACTTGCGGCCATTTTCCCTTCCATTTTTCCCGCTCAGCAGCCACTTTGACGGCTTCAGTTGGGCTATGGGAGCTGACGACGAAGGAGCGGCAGACGAAGATCATGGCGGCGACGGCGGTGGCCCACCAGAGCGAGGTGAAGATTATTAGGTAGAGTGAGGCGCGCTGGTGGAAGGTGCAGGTGCGGAAGATGCGCCGGTAGAAGAGGAGGATGGAGAGTTTGCAGGTGAATTGGGACCATATTCCGAGGAGGAAGGCGGTGAGCATGGCCTTGCGGTATTGGATCAGCCGCGGGGAGGCAGCGGTCAAGTGCATGTCTAGAATTTCGGTCTTGGTATATGGTCCAAAGTTTGTGAAGCTCTCTGTCGTGAAAGAGTCAGTTCAAAGTCGGTGCTGCCGCAGTGCTACTGATTTACCGTGTAGGGCGACGATGATGGCGGCCCAGTAGACGATCAGGGTCCATACGATAAGATAGTCGTCTCTTCTAAGACCTTGTTTCGTCGATCGTTTGGCGTAGACGCGTGTGCAGACTGTGAGGCCGGCGATGAGACAGCAGATGAAGTGAGCGACGGCTATTTGGCCGTGGTAGTAACTTAGACCGAGCATTGTGGTGGAGAAGTCGCGGTCAATGATCGATGGTCGCGGTTTCGAGTTCAGAACACTTTCTAAAGCTCGGGGAAAGCGCCGTTTTACTTGGAGGGGCGTCAATGTGCAATTAAATCGCAGCAGTGCATATCCAAGGTTCAAGATTGGGGCAATATATACGAAGACGGGAAAATCGACCGCGACGAAACATGAGTAGACAAACGGGCGCGATCGTTGTCGAGATACGAAGCCAAGCTCGGTATCCAAATTGGGGAAGAAGACGGATATAGGGTGACCGCGCGATTGTCGGTGGTCACACTGTGTCACCCAAAAGACGTGGTCCGTTTGCTAGCGATCTTCGTTTTACAGGCTATTCCAAATGGGTCATGTTTACCTCTCTCTTTCACTTCTCACTTCGTTTTGATGAAGTCGATCAGTGCGCCGAACCAGCCGAGCGTAACTAGTATGATTTTTGGATGATGATAAAAACACTACGGAGCCGAACCTAGAGTTACGTTCCCACTCTTAGGCGTCACGATGTCTTGTCTTAGATCTACATCTTTTAACTCTTTTTTTTTTTATCTCTAGCATGCCTAACACCACTGTTTAGCTGTAGAGATAGCTTGTTCCCTAGAGATTTTGTGGGCAAGGCTGTTCTGCTATCTAATAGATGGCTGTCCTCGTGCTTCGCTGAAAGACCTGGGACTAACAGCCTTTCCCGTACTGAACTGTGCTCAAAAACAACAAAAGTATTGCGTCCCCCATGCTCACTTCATCTTGACCATCTCGATCCTCACACCCTCTGCCCATCTCGCGACGATCACCATCCTAGGGACATCGGTCCTCCAATAGCGGCCTCTATCGCGGTATCAACTAGAGGATCGAACTCCCCAACATCGAACGCCAACTGCTTCAGCGGACCCATCGCTTGTTCCATGAGGCTGATGTGTCTTCGAAGCAGTCCGATCATCTCCTGGGGCGCCCGTGCTTCTCTTTTGCGTTTCGTCAGCTCACTCTTTGACTTGCCAATCTCCCTGTAAAGAGGGAGAAGTTCTGCGATGAGTTTTCTCCTCCGCTCATGGTAGTCGCGTTCATCGCTGCTGTTATCAGAGTCGCTGCTTCCATGATCGCGCTCTCTCTGGTGTAGTTGATCTGTGTCTCCGTCTATCGGCGCGTCACTTGCTGCTGGTATCCTTTCGTGATCGAGATCATTGGGAGGCGAATAAGGAGGGGGCGCCGGGTGACTCGAGAGTCTATCATGATCCGTGTCTGCATAGACGTCGTTCGTCTCCGCGGTATACTGATGTGTTACGTAGTTGTTCTGCCCCATAGTGGCAAGACAGCTTCGAGCAACATCCACCTGGGTCTCGGCTTCCTGGAGTCGCGCCCTGCATTTCTGGAGCTCAACTTGGCGCTCCTTGATTTTGTTTTCTCGCCGTTCGAGTTCGGCCCTGCGTTCCTCAACTATGGTCGCACAAGTCCTCGTGACGCCTTCCATCGCCTCGGTATGTTGCCGTTGCATCTCAAAGCCTTCCCCTGCACGTAATCTTAGTGTTGGTCTTGTTTCGATTTCTCATTGGTGTAGGCTCCGTACCTATAGCGTTGTCTGCCGACCCATCGTACGTCAATGACGGATTGGATGGAGTCCTGCACATGATGCACGGAGATGTCTTGCCGGAGTTTTGTGAATGTTTTTCGAGTTTTTTATTGTGTTGGGTCGTTGTGCACGATAAGAATGATGTTGGTGTATCGTGGGAATGTCGTGGAATCAGAACGAGGAGGTTGTGGATTTGTTATTGTAAAAGCTAAGGTGCTAACTACTAAGGAAGGAGAGCCTATGTACCCGTGAGGTAATCACGTGACACAGCGCGTCGACCTACCTAGGTAGGTACAGCATGCCCACGAACCAATCGTAACTTACAAATTATGCAAATTACCAGTACTATAGGTCAACGAGAGCGCGAATATTGCGACGACTGATATAGGGTTGGACAAAACTCGTTTACGAACAGAGCCGTGTTGAGGTGCACTATATGCACGCGATATCATTTGCTCAGGCACGGTTCAAAGATGCCCGGGCAAGAACGCCGCACTATTCGCCCGCGCCCAACTTCCATCGTGCGCTACAACCACCTCTACCTCTACAGGGCTTCCACCTTCCTCACGGACAGTCCCTTGCTTCAAGAGCCTTGCTATTGTTTCTACGGTAGCTGCTGCAGCATCAGTGTCAGCATGCACACTTCTCAAACCACCTTTCCCATCGTCGTAGAGCGCGATACCCTTCTCGCCGCTCAGGATGCGTGGGTCATGGCAACAGTCGCCGCCGAGGTATACCCACTTCTTCGGTCCTGTTCGAGCGAGAAGGTTGATATGTCCGAACAAGTGCCCTGGTGCATCGATGATGAATAATGATCCATCCCCATAGAAGTCTATGGAGGCGGGAAACCCCGCCAGCGGCTTCCACTCAAGTTCTTTTGTCTGGTTCTTGAATGCGCGGGAAGCTTCTGCCTTACGAACAGGTGGTAGCTCACTTGTTCGGTCGGCAGGCAACTCATCAGGATTGAATATCTCGGATGGATAAAGTGGCCCGCCACCGTTCGCAAGAAGATGCATAGTCCCACTTCCGACCACAAATCGCGCTTTTGTGAAATCGCTCGGTGTACCCACATGGTCCCAGTGAACATGGCTCAGCATCACCACGTTCACATCTTTTGGGTCAAGTCCCCCTCTTTGCAGGCTCTCAGCTGCATCCGGACTGACACTAGTAGGCTGTCGTTGCGCGATATGATGCTGTTGTGCTTCCCGGTAGCCAGAGAAGTCGCGTTTGAGACCGAGATCGAAGACGAGATTTGATGAACCGTGTTGAATCAGGAATGAGAGAGACGGGACTGTCGCACGTCTTTCTGGGTCGGCATCTGTGACGAAGAGTCTCTCGGGAAGGGTAAGTTGGCCGGCTTCGAGGGCTGAGATGGTAACGTAGGTTTGATTGTGAGCGGGTGCTGGAAGAATAACGCCGTCGGTACTTGACGCCATTGCGAATGACAGGAAGCAATAGCTGGTATCTGGGATGTTTCCGAAGCCATATTTGACACCAAATATGACATCGTTGTTGGAGAAACCGTGGTTGGGGAAATCGCTGGCATGTATTCCGTCCTGCGGCCCCACCTTGTCAACTACCCCGCACGCGGGGTCGACTCCTTTGAGATGTCGAGATCTGCTGAATTTATCAGTGGGAGTACAAGGTATATAGATTGAGACTCTGCTCAGACGTAGCCGAATGGCAACCCCCCGCTCCGTATCAATTCGAGAAGT